TGCATGCATGTGTAATCCTGACTTGTATGGCTCTTTGTCCCAATTTTATGTGCACAGGGGCTTCAATCTGCTATGGCTTCTCATCCACCTCATAGCTTTGGCCCTTGCATGAGAGATAGTGTTGCTTAGGTATTTTGGTGCAGAAAGTCTAGGTTTGCTTCCTGAGGAAAATGCTCCTAGAAGGCCAGTTATATTTACCCATTCCCCCTTCAGGAGAGGGAAGAAAATCTTGCACTAAGACTTGTCTTAAAACGGTATCAGACATTGATACCATAATAATATATATATAATATACCACTTTTCATAAAAGAACTTCCATATAATGAACAGAAAGTAATGAATTTAACCTGGAAGATGATTCAGTGTTACAGTAGTTGGCATGTGAAGAAAAAGATGCTTGGGGAATCTCAAGTTTGACTCCAGTTCAGTACCCTTCCTCAAGTCTTCTACAACTGAGCCATTGCTTATTAGAAAAGAGCAGGGATGGAAAGAAAGCAACTGCTTAGAAAGGCTCTTTACTTCTCTGAAAGAACATCTAAGAGGGAGAGGGGGCACAAGAAGGACATATTGCCTCTGATAAATGAAGAAGTTGATCTGTACAATCTCATCTTGAGTGTTGTGCTCATTTGAGAGGGATGGTTACTGGCAGCAATGCATGCTAAGAACCCTGGGAAGTTAACACATATCAAACAACAGTGCATTTGCAAACAGAATACACATTGCAGTAGAATCATCTTTTCATTATATTTTTAAGAAAAAATATCCTATATGTTAGAAGGCAGCTTGTAAATTATAGTTTCATCTGCTTTGATTCACACACATATATCAAGCAGTACAGTTGAGACTAGAACACTGACTGGTTTGGGCTCACGGAGGGAACAGAGAGATAAGCTGGAAAAAGAAGCTTCATTACTGCACATCCATCTTTCTGTCACTTGTTCTTTTTGAATGTTTCTCTCTTTTCTAGCCCCTCTAAAGTCCATGTTTTTGTCTTCTGGGGCAACATAAAGGTAACTGCTAACATGAAGCTGCACCAATGGAAAAGAGGTAACACATCTTCTAGAAAAGATGAACTTCCAGAAGGAGGTTAGTTCACTTGGAAAAACAAGGTTCAACCCAGTAAAAATGCCTAATTTTTGATTACAACTTTCATTGGGGTGAGTAGGAAAGTGGCATTGCATTTTAAAAGCCCAGTGGGAATACAAGGGTTACGGAAGGTTTCTTCCTAAAGTAAATGTTTTCAGACAAGTCCTTTAAAATATTCTCTAGTTTCCCTTCTCTTAGTTTTTCTGGAAAGAAGTGGTGTGCTTTGTTTTGTGCTGTTACCTACAATCCTAGGTAGGATTGGGGCATTCATATAAATGCAGATACATTATCCCCTCTGTCCCAAGGATCACACAGATTAAGGCTTGTATCCTGGAAATTGCTGACTGAGGTAAATACTCTTGCTCACATAGACTGGCAATGATTTCAAGGGAGTCCTCCAGAGCCAGGGTGTGAAACACCTCCCAGCAGGACAAGTCTTGGACTATTGGTATTGTAAGCATTTGCCTTAGTCTTTCTGCACAAATAGATCAAGCATCATTGACTTAACTGGTACTGCTCAGATGTGCAGTGATGTGCAGATGTTTGCTTCTGACCTTTTAACATTCTTTTCCATTAAAAATCAATAAATGATGCCTGGAAGTACCAAGCAAGATGCACATCATTTCAGCTGATTGCAGCTTAGTTGTTCTTCCTTTCTGTGCTATCATTTCATAGTCCTTAATAACTGTTCTTTTTTTTCCTTGAGGGAGAAAATATACATATATATTCACAACCTGTTAAACAACTTCAAGGATGCATCATTCTACTATTTCAGCCATTAAGTGACTCTTCCCTTGGTCTGATCTGCAATGAAATCAGTGGAAAGTGTTCTATTAAATTTATTTAGCTTCAGATCAGAAGCTGCCATTGAAAACTCTATAGGCAGCCTGATGTTTGTCATATCTACCATAATCCACAGTGTGGTCCCAGTCCTGCAGTCTGACTCTGGGAAAATCCCTATTGACTTCAATGAGAGCTCTCCTAAACTAAAGATTTCACAATCAGTTAATGAGAAGCAATGAGCATACACTGCCTTCTCTATTAGATCCTGTAGTCAGACTACTTCTGATGGGCTTCTATAAAGTTATTTTCTCTGGCAATCTGTGCTTGCAGCAGCACGTGCTCTTTAGTCTCTCAATTCTTCACTTAACAAAACAGCTTGACTCTGCAGGTGAAAGATTCTGAAATATTTTAATTAACTAGCTTGAGCACCATATCTCCCTAGATGTTTTAGAAATTACAGACTGCTTGGTTATGTGACTGCCATCAAACAAGATTTGAACATATGAAACAGGCTGCTATAAGTGGAAAAGGTGCTGAGTTTATAATGTAAAGTTTATATCAGGCCACTGTAAACAGTGTATGTACACAGCTTGTTATCACTGGGGGATTTGACTAGCAATGTTTTTCGGGCTGTAGGAGTAGTTCTAGAAACTGTGGACCAAATCTTACAGCTCTGATTTAGTCAAAGCTCCTATTGATCTCAAATCTTTGAGTTGAGGCTTATCTTGGGTTTTAGAGAATGAAATAAAAGTTCAATAGGAAGAGAAAAAAAACCCATCTAGAGTTTTTATAACTATTCATTTTTCTGGTTACACAGGAATATGCATTTTGGTAGGCTGATATTGTACAGAAGCAATTGGAGCTCTTGGTCATACAATTAAATAATTACTGCAGTGTTCTGGCCATATTAGCATAACTCAGTACAGTAGGTCAAAGCTATGCACCTACCACCTTCAAGAGAGGGATCAAAGGAAGGCAATAAAACAGCACTGGGAATCCTTCTGAGACATCCCACACCTGGAGCTCCCACACCCTGCCCCAACCACTCACAGCAGGGAGGAGCTGGAGATAAGGGCTTGGTGTCTGCCTGCAAAGAAATAGATTGTTCCTAAAGGCCCCAGAATGGATCTGTATTTAGCAGGGGTACATTCAAGCTAATATAGTTTATTTGCATGTATCAGCCTGTATACTTGCTTACAGGATTTGATAGGCTTCTGAGAAAAAAAATGGGAAAAGTAGGTCTGTGAAAGGAGGGAAAGCCATCAGATGTCTGTTATGGCCAGTGGGAACTTCTTTAAGTCTGTCAAAATAATGAAAATATATCTTTAGTAAAAAGATAAAAGCTGAAATTCTCCTGTATCAACTTGTGTCCATGATCTGAAATATCACAAGGCTTATAAACGGATGAAAGATGAACAGTTTTACTAGTACAGAAGCAAAGCACAGTGTACATTTGTGGAATCCAAGATTTGAACATGATCTAGTCTATATGGAATGCGTTTAAAATGTTCTACACACAGTAAGAAACCATTTACCAACAAATCTTTAATAATCAGTGAAATACTGCTGGGCGAATTTTTTTTTAGTCCAGGTTTATGACACAGGTATCTTTGCAGAATTACACATATTACTGTTCTAAAGCCAAAAACCTTAATCTTTTAGGTTTTTTCCTCCTCACATTAATCCCAGTAAGATAAATGAAGTGTCCTGTGCTGCACTGTGTCTTTGCATAGTTCCTGATCAGAAGCCAATTTAAATAGTTAAAATCCCTTTATGGGTAATGTTCTTCACAAACACTGCACCACTGAGACTGTTTGTCTTTCTGAACTTGTGCTAGGGCTCACTGCATTAGCAGCTTAATCAGATTTGTTAATGAATAATGTTTTGCTTGCAAAATATATCTTATGTGCATTAAGCTCTTAATTGTGGAGTTGCCACAAGCCCTGGATTAAAGATGGCACTCACTGAAACAGCCATCAGGAAATCCAGATCCCAGCTGGGTTCCTACTCTCACTCATTCCTCCATGGAATTCCCACTGGGTGGGTAACAGACCCTGGTGAGCCCAGTCTGGTTTAACTGATCTCTCTGAGTCCTCTGGGCACCATCCTGCTTAGCTCTAATCCTTGGTGGGGCTCAGGTAACAGGGACAAAAAAAATTATTTTTCTGATGTAAGGGATCTTTTGGTGAATTTTTTTTGGTTGTTTGTGGTTTCTTTTTTGGTACCTTGAAACAGAGGTGTGTATGGGACGTTGATTCTGAAAATAGTAATTTAACCCCACAGAATAGTTTCAATAGTGTTGATTACTGATGTGGTTTTCTCTACTGATGCCATTGCTCTAGCCTTGGAGTTGTACTTTCATTCTTTGGCTTAGCATTTTAAGAAATCAAGCAAAAAATGGAAGTTTGATATAAGTCTTGGGGAGTTTTAACCTGCTGGTTTTTAATACCTGGTCCTTACTTTTATTTTGAAGTTTCAATCATGTTGTTTTCCTGAGTGGATGTAATTTATTAGTAAAATATATTCACAGTTGGGCATCACAAAATTCCACAGGTTGGGCAGTCTTTATTAATGTAGAAGCAAGCTTCTCCATTCTGACTAGTGATAAATAATAGCATTGTGTATGAAACTTCTCATTTAATTGCAAGGCAGAACAGTGGGGCAGAAGTAGGAAGTGAGGTTTTATTTCTCTTTGAAGTTAAACATTCCACTTCTCATTTTCTTATCCAGTTTTCAGTTTCATATGCCTTTAAAACACTGCTTTGAACAATGTCATAGAAAATTGTGTGCCAAATTTTTTTAAGGCCTGGTAGTACATATAAACATAAGTTTCTTCACATAATATATTGTTTATGGATTTTTTTTAAATGCAAACTAGAGTACTGAATCAGAGTTAGGCACTTGTTTAAGGATATACGGAAATCTAGAAAATATCAAATAGGAAATCAGGTCCTGGATCCAGGTATGAGTGATCAATTCCTGCTTCAATTTGGGTGATAAAGCACTTTTGCAATGTTTTAAATATGTTCATTTTCCTCCATAGTGATTTCTTTTTTTTTTTTCAGGGAAGGCTAGTACAGTCTCAGGCTGGATTATCTCTAATTGCCTTCTTTAAAGTACCTTTTTCAATACTGTGAATTGTAACTTTTATTGAGTCATTCTGAAATTTGTCCAAATTCAAAGAAATGAGACAGACGTGCCTCACTAGGGTGGTTTTGTAGCTGTCTGCTCTGTGCCTTCACTGCTGGGCTGTGACCCAGCAATGTGAGGAACCTCTGGCTGTGCCCATAAAGGGCACAGCTGGGCCAAGCATGGGCAGCCTTGAACTATCAAAAGTACCTCTGGCCACTAAGTTGAGCTCGGTGTTCACTATCCCTTACCTCAGGTGACAGCTCAGGAGGCTCTGAGGTGAAGCAGTGTACATGAAAGCCATCGCAGAGCCCTGTTACCACCACTTTTTCTTCTCAGCTCCATCTTTTGTTGCCACCTGGCCACTGAGCACTTCGTGGGAGGCAGAGCTCGTGGTCCCTCGGCTCCCTGAATGTCATCAGAAACTGCCTACACACATCCTCCAGCTGGTTCAGGAGGCAGTGGGCTCAGGTGAAAGGTGGTGCTGACAGCTGGGCCTCCTGGCAATAGCACATGGTACTTATTTAGATAGGCTCGGTATTAAAGTGTTCCCTTATGCCTGCTTCACTCACTTGCCTTGCCCTTTCCCAGCTGATACTGGGAATTGCTCTGCTCTAGTGGTGCTAATTCAAGAGTATGGTGCTGGCCTGCTAGCCTGACTGTGTGAAACTTCTGGGTTTTTTCCTCTTAAAAAGAAAAAAAAAATTCTTCAGGGCTTTCCTGCTGTGGATTCCATAGATCTAGATTAGCTGGTGGCACAGCAGCGATGTGGCACAGCTGCTTCCCAGGCAGTGGGGAGCTGGGGGCCCTCTTCCCATGAGACTTGACCAGCACTTACCGCGGCCGGCCGGCGGAGCCGTCGCAGCGTCCCCAGGGCACAGGTGGCGAGGGGCGGCCGCCACCGCGTCCCCGCTTGTGCAGCCGTGCTGGCACCGCCCGGGACTGATGCGCCAACAACTCGCGGGGCCAGACCCGAGCAGGGCCAAACACCGCGGACGTCACCGCTACCGACTGCTCTCCCGCCAGCCTCCAGTTCCTGCCTGGTTTATTTAGTCCTTGTGGTAAGCACCACCTGAATGCACCGTTTTATCCCCAGCAGGACAGGGCACACCCAGTGAGGAGAAGCAGAAAGTTCATCGCGGCTCCAGGCAAGCTGGGAGTCTCTGCGAGGTCCTATCAACACGAGCGAGCGGGGCGCATTTGGCTGGGGAACTATGACGAGTAAAACTTGAGGAAGGAGGCAAAGCGAACGTGTCACCTCTATCCAAAGCAGAGCTAGGTAAACCTGCTGCCTATTGGGTTACACCAGCTGCTGTAGCCCGTTTCCTAGAGTAAAGGCACAAATAAACCAGGTTGTGACTGTAAACCTCATATGTTTGCCACTCTGGCACTGTATTTTAGCAGTAGAAGGATTGAAATTTTTGAAATTAATATGTATGTGATTGCTTTCTTTGTGTGTACTTCTGTGATGCTTGTGTATGGATGGCACACCCCAGCATATCCCAGTCATTGTGAAGCTGGTCCTTCTGTTTTGGGACTTCAATGCAAGTTTATCTAACTGATCTTCCCAATCATTGTGATGTTTTTATTTAGCACCTAAAACTGTATTAAATTCTTTTTCTCCCTTCCCAATACACCGTGTACTTAGGAGGCTGCTGAGCCCCCTGTGCTCCAAGCAGTGTTACCACTTGCCCTTCAGCTAATTCCTGGCAGCCCCCATGGCAGAGAATGATTCAAAATGTTGCTAAGCTGCAACATTTTTTTGCATGCATTTTTTTGCATGCTTCCCTCATAAAACCACCAGACTTGGGGGAAGTAATTGCTCCATCTCTGGCTTAAGATAACTTCTGACACCATGTAATGCTTTATATAAATACTTGAGTGGCAGGTTTTTCAGGAGAGAAGGTACATTACCTATCAAGTGCATGAGCAGTCAGCTGTGGCTGATTTTACTTTGGTGTTTGGAAACTTCTGAAGATCTACTTCAGCAGAACCAGGATTTTACCTTTTTGGTACACACATGATGCTCTCAGTAGTTCTGTGTGATTACCAACAGTCACATATACACCAAAATTATTATTTCATTTCTTACTCATGTTCCTGCTTGCAACCAGATACCTCAGCCCTAATACTCTTTGTCTAGCTCTGCTATCTTCGTATGTACAGTCCTATTTCTTTTGTGGACACAGCACTGAAATATGACCAAGTGTCAAGCCATGATGTCAAGGTATAAAGTGCATATGAAAAACAGACTAGCTCAGCAGCACAGCAACCAGTGCCATAGACAGGAGTTTGTGTACAGGTTACACTTTTGTGTGAACTGACCTATGTTATAAACACAAGAGAGAAAATTTGCTAGTCAGAATGCTGTTACATAAATAAAGTCATATTTATTTATTTGGCTTAGGAAAATGTTGTGACTAAAACATGGAGGGAGATCAAAGTGGCAAAAAACACCCAAACCCCTAAGTAGCACAGTAATAAGTGGTGAGTCCAGCTTCCCTCTTTTATAAACTGGTCAGATGTGCCAGAGCAAATTCTTAAGCCCTTCAGTGATCACAACAGGAGCAATGCTGCAGAGCATACAGGAGGGGAGGCTGTTCATGGCTAGGTCCTGACCAACACTGAAAAGTTAGCTAAGGGTGTAGCTGTGGCTAAACCACTGAGCAGCAGTGAATACAGTGAGTGGGGCTGTTCTTTGTTTGAAAAAGAAGCTTTCTCTTATTAAGAACAAATGGAAATATCTGAGGAAAACTGATTTTTTAGAACACTTTAGGAAATGGGCAAATTAGGTCTGACAGAATAGTGATATGTAAAACCATGAATCTAATACAAAAGGTGCATCAGGGAATTCTCAAGACAACTTTCATAATAACAAAGCCAAAAGCTATGCAAGACATGGAAAGATCATTCTCTTTCAAGATACGGATTTTTTTTTCCCCCTAATTTTCTCAGACACTGTTCCTATTTAGTAGCCTGGGAGCCTCTCCTCCATCTGCCTGTAATGCTGGGTCTTGCTTGCACAAGACATTACCAGTGAGTAAAGTTACTCAGACTTCATCCTCATAAACAAAGTACTCTTTTTCTGCCTGTGTGAGAAATAAAATATTGAGACCTTACTAATATTCAAGAAAGGACAATTAAATGTTCAGAAACAGATCATGTGCTTATCTACACTGATGTTAACTAGGATAAAAATCTCAAGATATTTAAATGCTTATGATTCACAGCATATGTAGGTGCTGACTGATGAGACTTAAGGAAATATTTCCCTCTAGGGCAGGCTTTTCCATAATCAACCATTACAGGCACACTTCCTCTGGTCCATGATACCAGACTACAGGGACAGCAGGTGTGATCCAGAATGGCAGCTCCCATCTTCCTGCAAAGTAACAGCTATTGCTGACAGTCCCTGTTCTCTTGGAGCCATGCCTACTGCAAATGTGTAGCCCGTTTGGAGGTTTCATCAAGGCATTATGGGGGACTCCACTTAGTTGTTTTTCATCATTTTAAGTTCCTTGTTAAAACCTTGTTAAAAACACTTCTAAAATTGCTGTGGATTGATTGTTGATCTGATGTTGCACTCAACTAGCCAGTGTCTGGTCCAGCAAGGAGTGTTCTCACTCTTGTGTGTCGCTGTTGAAGACTGGGCTGTGGACTATGCAGAGTGTAATTTCAGGCAGTTAGCCTGGGAAAAAGAACCATATATATATACTGAAATTACTTAATGCTCTACTTTGGGCACAGTCTTACTTCAAGACCAGCAGAAACTGTGAGTAGGACTGTCAGGAAGGCAGGTGTGACTTTGAACAAGTATGGTCCTGTTAGATCAGCCATGAAACATGCCGTGTCCTGCCACCAAAGACAGTGGTCCTGTCAGGCTGCTGCTTCTATGCTGTGAAACTAATGTATGGATATGTTTGTTGGAAAAGAAAAGGTATCTGATGTGCGCAAATAGGGGATCAGCAGCTGGGGTGATTGCACATCTTGTGTCTTGCACATCTAAGGAGCAGCTTTTACACTGAGTGGAACAGCTCAATATCCACAACAGTGCTGTGATCTTTAACAAGTCTCCTGTACTGTGAAGGCACTAAAAATTGAAATCAACTCCCTTTTCTTTTGACAGCTTTTTGTGATCTTCTCATTGGAAATACTGAAATCTGCAATTAAAAAAAATATATTTAAGAAGTATACTTTAGTCTGTGTTTGCTTTGGCTAGAGGCTGAAGTGAGTACAGTGTGAAAATGTGGTACAATAAAAGAGGCTTCAAGAAAGCAAAGAGTATGAGATGCATATAGATACATTATAGATGTAAATATCACTAACAGAGCTGTGCTGCAGAATAAATTGAAAGGTTTATAATGGGTTTCCGTCAAGAGGTTGCATAATGGTTAGGAAGGTTCAAGTCTAGAAATGGCAGAAGATGGAAAAGTGTT